GGCCTGACCTGAAATTGCTCAAATCGCGACGTCATCATCTTGATCGCTACTGGTACGGTGCTTTCGTTCTTGATGAAATGGGTGCTGGTCTGACGTCCAACGACCGGAACTTCGTACTGCAATGTTATCGGTTCGATCCGGATACGGATATCGTCCGAGTTTTCAGACCACGACATTTCCTCCAGGTACCGTTGACCGGTTGAAGCTTCTGCGCACCTCAGCGATCGTCCCTACTTTGCACTACTAACCAGTACTATTGCTATGCTCACATTAGTTTAATATGAAACGTTGTAATTTTCTAGTTTACATCGACAAGAAAAACTTGACGGACATAGTAGCCGTAAGAAACGGCTCTGTTGCGTTGAGATCTGTTTCCTCAGCAGTCCAAAGCTTTTTCCAACATTTGGGAATCAACGATTTTCCAGATTTCTGAGAGACTAAGAACAGAAACCTACGTACACACAAATTCGCTACTGCTACACTACCTCAGGCCACAATTTCGTATACCGTCGGACTGGTCTATCAATACTGTTAGTGACTTCATAAGGGCAAATCTGCTGCAAATAACTTACAGCAGCACGTGCCTAATAACTTGTGGTGCGGCAAAGGCTCACCGGTGACCTAAAGAGAGCACATGCGCGTTGCACCGCGGACAAAATTTCTACACCAAAGAAAGCTTCCGTTTAAAAAAAGTAAACAAGATTTGTAACAAATAGAATGTCGGCCATTCTAACAATTTAATAATGGCCTTTTCTGGCCAGGTTTATTAACTTAAGAGGTAGGACACTGATCTCCATTCCCACCACATTGGTCAAGAGTACATTAGTCATAGTGGACAACAGCTATATTACTAGTGTAGCGCGGAGTATGCTATTTGTTTCCAAAACAATGGTACTCATTGTCAACCTCTGAAGCAAGAAAGGCCGGACCGATTTGGAACCTGGGACCTCTGGATTCTAAGTCCCATGCTTTACCGACTGAGCAACCTTGGTCTGCACTTGGAATAATTGTATTATTCATCCGTCAAATAAAATCAAGCTGATTTTCCCTATCTTTGAAGATCTGCTGTATTCATAATACCAGAAGTGAAGCGATATCAAATCCGCTAATGCAGGTTGCTCTCTAAAATGAAACAGGTGTCATTTAATCTTAAACTGTCACATAAGAAGACAATATTGACATCACAGGTGCCTTCTTCATTCAGGGATGTAGAAACTTGCATGACTTCATCAACACCCTTGAAAACTTTTTTTGGACATTAAACTATATGGTGTCCTTCGAAGAAGCTTCATGCGGAACTAAACAGTTTTGAACTCAAGTTTCACATATGATTTAGTGAAACAGATATGCATACCATCCTGAATTCAGTTATAAATAAAATAAGCTTATGATCTGAAAACTGCGTGAACAGTGTGCAATCCGGACTAATATCCCGAATCACCTGCATTTAATGGTGATGAATCTCCAGCAGGAAGCGACCAACTTGGCATATTAGTCCGCCCCTTTGGATGAAGTACTATTTGAACCGGGCTCATTGCTTGGCATCAAATGCGGATTCATTTCTTGACGAGACACCGTATACTTTAATAAGTACTAAAAGCACTTTCAGAGAATGAACGAATGGTCATTATTTGTATCTACTGTCATTATGCATTTGCGCCAATGTGACTACGTTTACCTGACCGTTAGCGTGCAACTAACAAATTTTTAGATATTACTTAAAAGTATTCTTACGGCAGGCTAGCTTTCCTTCCTCAGGTCACTAATACCACAACGAATTCAAATCAGCATCATCGACGATAGCAGACATTTACTGCATGTCCACGTTGCAAAGTATACCAGATTTCCTTACGTGAGCGTATATCATAATTAAACCTTTATATAAATGAATGGTTCAACGTCAGTATGCATTCTTACATACCCGTATACAATACACAGCATTACTTATATGTTTAACGTAAATTGGCTATACACGTGATTTGTTGTTGACACGTGATCGACTTTCGCTATATCGCTGTATTCTTGCTTCGGCTAAGTGTCTACGTAATCAGTGATTTGTTAAGATTCTGTTTAAAATGTTATTTGCATTGGCGATTCTGTTAATGCAACACGAATTTCATTTAAATTCCAATTCAGACTGTCCTATTAATTAACGCTTGTCTTATTTGTTCTGATAAGACGTTCAATACTTCCTTAATTTCTATCTCAGATTTGATTAACCAGTTTATTTTTATTGACTCGTTCGTAAATTTCAAACTTTTTTATAGAAGTGCAAGATTAATTAAATTCAAAGAATATTTACAAGAGTTGTTACTTTAGATTAGCACGACGCAATCGCAACGTACCTGTTTTCAGCAGCCCAGAGAACCTTCTAAGTAGACTACAACACTATAAGATGTGGTACGTTTTGTAGTACTTTCCTATAGCGCTGGGTCAGAAGAAAGCATGTTTAAACATAGCCAACGTAATTCAATCCCTAAACACATATCGAGCCAAAACTTTAACTTGTCAAATTAATATTTGTAATTTGTCTTTAAGCACCATTGACTACTTGTGTTCAGATGCTTCTGGGCAAAGTTTGAGATTGTTCAGTCGGAATGTTGTTAAATTCGAAATCGATAGTTCCCAGATTCGAGCTCCAATCAGGTCACTCACCTTTCTTCCAACCGAAGAACATAAACGGGTATCACACTGTGGGAAGGAAACAGGAGACTACGCACAATGCTTACCACTAAGCCGACTCGATCGACTCCTCCTTTAAAATGAAGCACTAGCGGTTAATAGCAAGGTAATGGAGACCAGCGTCGCACCATTAACTTCATGAAAAGAAAGGCGCCAAATACGGTCAGTCATGAAAACTAATCATGAAGACAGACATTCAAACCGTTACAAACTTTCCTTCCTTCACAGCTGAATTTATCTGAACATAACCTAACAAAAAATAATTTTTTCTGCAAATCTGAGTTCTTTTATTGTATAAGATTGTTCAAATCAAAGTACACAGGGCGGATGCGTTTACAGCTAACTGTTGTAGACACCTTTGAACTAAAACCGATTCTAAGGTAAAACCTGAATAAAAGTATGTAAATTTTTTACAAATTTTCAGTGGGGATCGTATCCTGAACATGTGGCAGGAGTGCTGGCTGGATGAGTGTAGTAACCACAGGGGGAAGAGAACTGATGATGGTGGCTGATGACTGTAAACGATCACGACATCATTATAGCTTTTGAGTGACTGATCGATTTGTCGTCATCACAATTCAAACACTACTGACAGTCACAGGATCGTCGCCAGCCGGCGGTACGTTCTGCTGACCGTTGTGTAAGCTGAGAATGGACGACGCCGCGTCACCACAAGAGTCAGCAAAGTCTGGAGATGGCTGACGAACGGCGTTCGACGAG